CAGCAAAGTTGATTAAGCTTTTGCAGATGGTTTGATTTGCTGAGGTAATGTGGAAGAAATGCAGATGTTTTAAAGCTTTTGTTTTAGATGCTTTAGGCAGCTAAGTGGCTTAAAAGGAAAGCTTTTGCTTTGCACCCTTTAGAAACATCCATGGCTTTTGAAAGGGAACATATGGCAGGGTTGTTCAGTGCCAGCATGGAGTCTGAGCTACTGGAGCTGCCCAGTCAGGTTAGTTTGAACACCATTTGCCTGGAGTAGAGCATGACTTGCAAAACCCTCTGGCCTGACCCAGGCAGCTCCCATTTCCTCTGTGCTTGTGATTTATCCATCAAGATCCCAGATCCCAAGGACATAACCTCTCTTGGGAATGAGTGGCATCCTCATGGGTGGAAGTGTGTTTGCAGCTCAGAGGAGGTCAAGCTCAGAGTCATTGGGATAATTCAGGTAATTTTCCTGAAGGGCTTTTGTGTGAAGGGCAGTTGGCAAGGTGATGACTGCCTGGGCCAGCCTTGGAGGAGCAGAGGAGGCTCCTGACCTCAGGCACTGAGGGATCCAGCAGTCTCTGCTCCCCAGGTTAACTCCCAGGGGGTTTTCTGTGTTTTCAGCAGCCCAGGTGAAATCTTAAATGGCAATAAATTCTGTAATAAATTGCCAATCTGTGGCAGTCTGGGAAAATCCCAAGTCCTTTGGCACCAGAGGACTCTCCTGGCCTCTGTCTCCATCCAGCCCCACGGTGGATTTGGACTCATATTTGATCCAGGACACAATTTTCTTTGAGAAGCTGCTTTGCTCTCTTCATCTGGCTCAATTCTCTTGCCTTTGCCCAAACAGGATTTAGGTGTATTTATCTAATCCATAGCCTGTTACTCTTCTAGGAACTTCAGAGAGTCCTTCTCTCCCTTTATCTTTCTCCAGTGGCAGACAGCAGAAAATTTGTGGAAGCATGAGGGAAATGGTTCCTGCTTAAGATGTGAAATCTCAAACAAAAGTACAAATGTGTTCAGTGTGTTAATGAATTGCTTTGTCTCTGCAAGGTAACTTCTCTCTACCCTGGCAGGCAGGTCACTGCTTCCCACACTAATTCTCTAACCTACCTCTGTGTGCAGATACTTAACAAAAACAAGTCCAAACTGTAGTGTTTTTCTTCTTCACAATGCTGCTCTTTTCCAAATAGCTGCAGTGGTGTGTTCTGGCTTTGGTAGTTTGTTTTTTTTTTTCCCTGCAGTAAAAATTTCACCTTTTTTTTTCCACTTAGGGTTTGGCTACTAAGAAATCTGCTAAAGCATTTCCTCATCCTTTTGCAAAATCACAATTGCTTGGTATCTAGGAGAATTTTAAAATCTAAAGCTGGGATCATAGGCCATGAAAATCAATCTGGCTTTGACTGCACCTGCTAAGCAGAGAGCTTGTGGGAGATACATTTATATAGGTTTTTCACCCCCCACTCTTTTCTTTCCTCAGAGAGCTAAAATTTAATTACAGAGCTTGGAAAACTCCTCACATCATGTAGAGACTGAGCTAAATAAAACAATGAGAGCAAGGCAGGAACACAAATTGTAAAAAAAGCACCTCATACTTGAGATTTCTGTGCTATTCAAAGGTTTCATTCAGCTCCTTTTTAAATGGGAGGGGATGTGTGGGGGTTGATGGGTGTGAATACTTATTATTTTCTGAAAGGGGGAAAAGAAGGCAAAGGTGGCTTTCAATATAATTCATAGGGCTAATGGGTAGATCTACCTGGTTATTATATCCTAAAGCCTTGGATTGACTTGATTGGAGTGACTGCCATTTTACTGGTGCTCAGAAGTTCCCTTTCCTAATCATTTTAGCACCACAAGTCAGGTCCTAGCAGAAGTTGTTTAGGAATTTAACCTTGGTAATAAATGTTGGATTCAGGTAGTTTTCTGTTAAAATAGAGCTGCTTTAAAAAAAAATATTATTACTACTGTGATTATTAGTACAAAAGAGGCAGGAGTAATTGATCTGTGATCTTTTTCCTGAATTTTACAGCTCTAAAGGATGTCAAGGTGGATCAGAAGTTTTGCCACAGTAGGGACAGATGTGTTATACTGCTCATTTTTCTGCAAGGACTGGCCAAATAGTGCAGGGTGTGAAGTGCCAGTAGTGGGGGTATGTTAAGGATAATAAATGAGTTAAATCTGCTTTGGGGTTTTTCTTTATACATATTTTTAAAATTTTATTTTTTGGGTAATCATTATACATAATTTGTTTTAAATAAATAAAAAAATATTCCCGAGGGAGAGTTTCCATCAGAACTTTTCCAGACATCTCTGGTAGCTGTCACCAAAGTATTGTGTTTGCTTTGGATAACTGAGCACATCTTCTTCAGGTTACAAATTAAAAGCTTAATAGAAGACAAGCAGTTAATAAGCAGAACTTGATGCTGTACAAACAGTTGAAAAAACAGTGTCTCCTCTCCCAGATCTGCCAAATCAGGTCAAAAGTCAGTTTTTGAAGCAGTTCCTGGTTCTTGAGTGTGTGTTTCTACAAGCTTTTAAGAAAGGGTAGAATTGAATTTTCTTCTGGGGTTGAGGCTCTGTGGATCCTCTCCAACGTGCTCTTAAATATAATCACAGAACCCCAGAATGGTTTGGGTTGGAGGACTAAAACCTTCCAACTATCCATCAGTCCTAAAGCCCATCCCCTTCCACCCCCTGCCATGGGCAGGGACACCTTCCACTATCCCAGGTTGCTCCAAGCCCTGTCCAACCTGACCCTGGACACTTCAGGGATCCACAGGCAGCCACAGCTTCTCTGGGCAACCTGTGCCACGCCCTCTCAGGGAAGAATTTCCTTCCTAATACATCATCTTAATCTTCTCTCTATCCATTTAAAATCGTTGTCCCTTGTCCTGTTCATTTTGTATATGTTTATTCATTGTAAAGGTTATTTCTTAAACCTTTTCATACAAACATCTTTGTTTAAACACAGAGGACACTTTGTGTGGGATCTTATGTCTTTGAAGGGATGTTATGAATCCTTCTTTCCCTTCTCATTTCTAGCAAGATTTTGCCTCTGCCTTTTTATAATACAGGGTACATCCTGCTCTGCTGAATTTTTTTTGCTTCTGATTATTCAGTGTTGCACATAAGCAGCTGTGCCCAGAGAGAAGTTCCCCCCATTAATCAGGAAGTGCTGAGCCATATGGCAGGTGAGGATGGAATATTTGCAGCTCTGGGGTGAGCCCCTCGTGTTCACAGCCAGCTTCACACGCAGTGAGTACCCTGCAAATGCATCCCTGCCAACACCATCAGGTCCTTCAGCCCAGGCTGCTGAGTGACAGTGTGGCTTTTTGGAGCCTTTTCCTTCCTTACTGAGCTCTTGCTTCTCTTCAGGCACCAGTGAGAGCCCATTTTCCTGTGTAATAACTCAGAAAGGGACAGAGGGAAAAGCTGAGGGTGCTCTGAGCTGTCTGCACTGCCCTGCTCTTGGATACTGTGCACATAGGGAAGGTGCAGGTGTGTGTCCAGTGGTGTTTCTCAGCCTTGTGCTCAGCTCCTTTCATCCATTTGATCCATCTTCTGGAGAAACACAGGAGTGGGAAACAATGTGCAAGAAGCCCTCAGTGAATTCAGTTTCCACCACAGCTATCATAACCTGCATCTATGGATTGAAATTGCCTGGGTTTGGAAATTTTATTTCAGCTGAAGATGGTATTAGCTTTGTAGTGTTAGTTTTTTAACACAGTGTGCAGTTGGATGAGTGTGGAAATGGGTGTGCTTGCAGCAGAGTGAAAAACCTCTACACACAGCATTGCCTTTAGTAGGTGACATATTGGAGCAAAATTGCTGCTCTTTCACCCCAGAAGAGCAGGCAGCCTGTTCCTAAGGAACAGTGGGATTTCTGCAGCTGTATTTGTAATATGATATTTCTGGCCTTAAACTTCATTTTAAACTTTGTTGAGATTTCTGAGCACTTTGCACGTAGGTTTGGACATCTGTGATGCACTTGATCAGCTAAAAAGTGAAATCACAGAGTTGCTGATGGATCACAGGTTTGCTTTGATCCTTTTTGGATTTTAACCAAACCAACATTTATCCTTTCACTGGTAGAAAACCAAACCATCATAAGGGGAGCTGATCTTAACTGTTTGAAGCTTGGTGTTGAAGCCAGGGAACTATTGATGTGTTCCAAGCTTGACTGAGGCAAAAAGGTCATATTAATGCTCCTTCCTGGTGTGATGTGCTGTCCCCTTTGGTAGTCTGTGCCAAAACACTTGGGATGTGTTTTAAAGGCATCATTTTATGTATTGGCAAACCTGGAGCTGACAAGTGACATTGAAGCAGGACTGTGCTTTGTTGTGATCTCACAGGTCATGGCAGTGGGATTTTGTGCCCTTCCTAGTAAAAGCAGAGCCTTGGCAGAGGATTTCAGTGCTTTCATGGCCACTGCTCTCCAGGCAGCTCCAGTGTACCAGGGCTGTGTTCAAAACCTCCTCATCTGCATGCATTGTTTTTTTAGTTGTTTTCTAACAGATGTGAGTACATAAATTTCCCGGGTTTTCCTGCTTTATCTTCCAGCAGCACACACAAATGCTGCTGGAAATTGAGCAGAATGCACTCTGGAGCACAGGCCCCTCGGTCTGTTTGGGTGGAATATAGTTTAATACCAAGCTGTAAGGTTCAGGCTCGCAATAACATGCCAGGAATGTGGTGTCTGCCTGGCACCCTGACCTGCACATGATGTCAGAATTCCTCTCGCTCAGCATCTCTGTGCTTTATAAGCACAAACTCCCAGAACTGTGTGGTTTTCCCTGGATGCAGAGGTTATGGAATAGCAGGCAGTGCGTACCTAAGCTGGTAGCTGGTGATGTCAGACTCTTTTCCCACTTCATTCCCCAGTGTGGAGCACTCTGTAAGGATTCAAGGCTCTGGGGGAGAGCCATGGGCCTTCCCCTTGCAGGGAGCTTTCAGCACTTCCAGCAGCACATTCCCGTGTGAGTCCATGCCTGGGGTAACCGTGCCTGTGCTTCCCTCCAGGAGGACTTTCGGAATAAAGTTGAAGATTACATTAAGCGCTACGCGAGATGATGAAGGGAGATGGATGGCAGCAGCACGGCTCCACTCCAGGGTTATCCTTAACTTCAACAGCAGCCAAACCAGCCCGGATTGTACCAGTCCTGTGTCCATGTTGTACTGAAGAAGAAAACTAACTTCATAACCTGTTCATGTTCAAAGGAGAGTTCAGCATAAATACAGCGAGAAATTGTGTCTGTTGGTTGAAAAAGTTGTCTGCTTCCTTTTACAAATGTTTACTCTTCTGAACTGTACTGTATATCCTGTTGATGAGATATGCTTGAGAAGTTAAAAGAAATCACTATTGAAATTGTAATTACACTTTTTTTTTTTTTAAACTCTTGCCTAATCTGGAGGGGGGAAGGAAAAAGAAAAACAAACCCAAAAATGCCAAACAGAAAAGGTGGCGTGTTTTTGGAACACTTTGAGTTGGCAATAAATGGTCTCCTGTGAACCAAATCACAAAACTGTTGCCTTTGATGAGCAAAAACAATATGAGCTTTTTCTAAGAGTCACTCAGCTGAGGCTTAGAGCTTGCCAGAGTGGAAGTGCAAAATGAGATTCTACTTCTGGTATTGAAATTCTGAATGCTATTTAATATAAGTATGTTTTTGTCACAGTTTGGAATTTTTACATTGTTAATTTTGGGGCCTGTTTGGGCTGCAGTATTTGGTTTTGGTTTTTTTTTTTTGTTTCTATTCATTGTGTGAAGTAGTTGAAAGAAATACAAGCTAATATGTAACTTAAGTACATGTTTAGTATTAGTAAAATTATATATATATATATATAATATATATATTTCTGTGAAAAAATTAATGAAAAGAAGATTTTTTTTTTAAAGAAATCTGCCTTTGGCTTTCCAGTGTGGATGTGGTGAGGGAGCATCAGATGCTGTTTGATCTAATGAAGGTAAATTTAGGCAGCGTTACCTGGAGAGCACCTAATTGTGTTCTCCAGATTCCTGCACTGAAAGGGAATGACGCAGCTGGAACCACAACACATTTCCCCCCACTTGTGCACACTTGTCTTTCTTGATTTGGAAGGATGTGATGTTGCAATTGCCTTTTCTGTCAGGAGCTGGATGGCACTGAGAGCCTGCAGAGGAGAGTGGCACGTACCTCAGGAGCAGCTTCAGTCCGTGTGCCAGAGCTCCCTGGGCATCCTCCAGGGTCAGAGGAGCTTTTATAAACCAGAGAAATATAAATGTATGTGTGGTTTCACACAGAGCGTGTGTGTGACCCTCGGGCGTTGACTGTTGGGGTTTTATCCCCCCTTCATTCTTTCCTGCTGTTCCTCTGCTGCAGGTGCTGGAGGACATTAAAAGAATCTCCATCATGGGCACAGCAGAGCTGGGGTGCAGACTGTAAGCATGAAACTTGGTGTTGAGTTTTCCCTGTGCCTTTTCCTTTACAGCTTCACAAGCTCCTGTAGCTGTTGCTGGAGGCCTGGGAAAGCAGGGAGGTGAAATGCAGGGATTGGCATGCAGGAGGAGAGCTTCAGCTGCAGATAATACAAGGAAACACAGATCAGCCCAGTATTTTCAGCAGGCAACTGCAGTGAGAAATCTTTGCTGCCAAAACAATTATGTCAGCAGAGGTAAGGAGTAAAACACTCACAGAAATAGTAAGGCTGGGAAATACATTTAGATTTTGCTTATGGCATTAGAAGGATTCTCTTTGAGTCGGAAACTCAACCAGGTTGTTGTAACAAAGTAGTTCTTGCTGTAGAGGCACCCTGGTACTGTTAGCACATTCCATCCTTCAGGAGGAGGGGTCACAGTCCCCATTTCTTGGCCTGTCACCATGGATGGCTCCCTACTTCCGCCAGAAGCTGCTGCTGCTGTGCCCAGGGCAGAGCAAAGCCAGGGTGCTGCTCGGCGGAGCCAGGGAATGCTGTGTTGGGGTACCAGCAGCCCTGTGAGCACAGAGCTGTAGCCATCAAAGCCATCCCTGCCTCCCAGAACGTTCCTGTTTAACCCCTTCCTTGTATTGTTTCTTGCCTGGAGGAACTGAGCACAACAATAAAGTTTTTGGATACTGTTAAATACTGTACAAGAAGGTCTGAGCATTGGTTTGTGCTCATCCAAGACGTGGGGAGGGGGGGAATCCTAGATCTCATCACCTCACAGTCCAGGAAAATAAATTGAATTTTTCCTTAACATGAGGAGATGGGGGGGTTATGTATATACATAAAAATATATTTTTGTTTATATATATTTTTATGTATATTTGTATAGATGCAACTAACCAGGATCATAGACTGGTTAGGGTTAGGGTGGGCCAGGCAGGGGGCTGGCTGTCCCAGTAGGGTTTTTTTTGGGAAATATGAGTCAAGAGTAAACAGCAGCAGGGTGTCCCCAGGGTTCCCCCTGTCCCACAGTTCCTGAGCCAGCAAGGCACTGAAGGGGTGTGGAGTGGACCAGAGCTGTCAGGATAGAGTTGGGGGTCCCCATCCTATCCCAGGTGCTGCCCAGTGTCCCTGCCCTGGAGCTCACCCCACTCCTGGACCTGGCCACCCACGCCCAGGAACCTCCCCAGGGACCCCACTGCCCCACCCCGTGCTCATGGCAAAGGGGCAGCACTCTTGGGGCTCTCTGCCATCACAGAATGAGGGCACTGAGGGGGAGGTTCCACCTCAGCCTTCACCGAGACAGTCACCTGGTTTATTCATGTATTTATTTACTTAGGTAGGAAAAGCACCTTACTCCCGTTCCTCGTTAGCCCCAGGGCCCCACCCGCTCCCACCGCCGACCTCTCCCCGTAGTTCCCCGGCTCCCAGGCAAAGCCCAGCTCGTGCAAACCCCGGCCTTGTGCAGGGGGCTGGGGGAGAAGATCCCTTTCCTCGTGTGGGGGAATCCTTTCTCGGACGGAGAGGAAGCCGAGGATGTTCAGGCGCACCCAGACTCGCTGACCGCACGTGTGTTGATGCCGCACTACCACTGCAGGCCCGGCAGGATTTCAACTCCCCACACCCCCTCGGGTTTGTTTTTTTTTTATCTTGAAAATTTTCCTGCTTGGCAGGGGATCCCGGGGGGAAGCGGCCGGCAGAGGCGGAGCAGGGCTCGGCAGCGCCGGTGCGGGCTGAGCGGCGCTCCCCGGGCAGCCCGTTCTGCCCGACAACCATCGCTTAAATGCCATTTATTTGGAAACCACGGGGCACAGCCGCGGAGGAGGAGCGGTGGCGATGCTGTCCCTGCCTCCGAAGCTCGGTACCCTCCGTGCTGCTCCTCTGGCAGGCTCTTCCCAAACAGCCGGCGCGTTCCGGGGCAGAGCCGCCCGCCCCGGCCCTACACGATGCCCTCGCTGCGTTTGCTCCTCCACACCACGAGCGCTGTCATCAGCAGGGTGACCAGGACGGGCAGCACGATGAAGGGACACAGGACACCGTTCGGGGGATCGTGCAGCGCCCGGCCCGACGGGGAGCAGTTCCTGAAGTATTGTTTGTGCACGGCCACGAAGAATTCGTCCACCAGCCGGTTGGGCCAGTAGCAGTCGAGCCTCTCGGCGATCAGAGCCGTGCAGTTCGTCAGCTCCCCGTAAGTGCTGCAAAACACAGGGACACCGGGTGGCACCGCGGTGACACCAGCGCCCAGACACGGCCACGCCACCCTCCCCCCATGCAGTATGAACTACTGTATATATATAATGCATACAAAACACAAAATACATCATTTATAACATATATCTATGAAGGCAATATATCCCTCCCTGTACAATATGTTATATTCTATTACAGAGATGTGTACTTGAGATTGTACTACAGCTGTTATTTGAGTTCTTAAATTTTTTTAGCTGTTTTTTGAGTTTACAGCTAGAAACACCTAGCCCCATAAAAAATATATTGTGGGTTTTTGCAAATATTTTGCAAATAACCTATAAACATATATGGAGTTTTGAGTTCATAGCTAGAGAGGTAGAAAGGTAAGAGGGTATTTTTAAACTCCCACCAGGTTTTGCCGCTTTCATGGCAACTTTTAAGTGCTCACCCAGAGCCAAAAGTGGTTTTCATTTACAGAATGATGTGGGGGTGGTGGTTTAATTTACAGAAGGAAATGAAAACTGAAATAGTATTTACAGGAATAACAAGAAGCTAATTTGGAGGCTTTTTGTTTGGTTTGTGCTAATTTTTGCAGAATTTCCTGGCTGAACTGGTGCTATTAGAAAATACAGGCCAGACCCACATTTTAAGCAGAGCCTCAGGAAACTCATCCCAACCTTGCCTTTGGAGCACCATCCTCCAGAGCTTGTGCGAGTTCAGCCCAAAGGGGGGACAGAAATAAGTGCATTGAATCTACTTAAAAATCTCCTTTCATTTGCCTAAAACTGGGGAAGTTGCATAGAAAGCAGCTGGGCAGGCCCACAGCCCATCCCACCTCTCTGTGACCTGGAGAAGCAGGAGTAGCCCTGAGCCAGAGACACTGTCCCTGTGCCAGGCCATCCAGCATCCTCTGGAATGACAAGACACTCCCTGCTTTAAAACTGGCTATGCATAAAAACTCAGATACAATTTCCCACTCCCCCAGCCCAATTAGTCACATCTAATCCTAGAGAAGCAAAGCAAAGCAAACCCCAGCTCTCCAATTAAAAACTTGCCTGGGGGAAGAAATATTTTCGAAGCAGTTTCCCGGCCACTCGCCACAGCCCCTGCACAGCTCCTCAGCTGGGGTTTGGGGTTTTGGGACAGGCTGTGCCCACACAGCCAGAGATTCAATTAACGGGGTCTGCAGCTGCTAAAAGCAGCTTCTGCCCAGCATCCCAATGTGCAAAATTACCATTTCCCATTCATCAGCATCCTTAGGAGATCTCGGGAGCTGCAGCATCTTCAGGAACCAGAGGGAAAGTGTTAACAGGCGAACAAAAGATATTTTTAAAGCCGAAGGGCCATAGAGCAGCTGGCTTAGCCCTTCCCTGGCTCCAACTGCGCTTCCATGGGGATAAATCACTGTTCCCATCACTGTATGTGAAGACATGCAAGGAACCAAAGCCCAGTGGTGCCAGCAAATGAAAGGATAAACTGTCACTGCCTTTTCTGGGGAAGCAGCAGCTGTATTCCAGCACTCGGCCACCTCTGGATGTCAAGATGGATCCGAGAAGAGGAGCTGGGCAGCCACAGCCCCACCAGCAGTGTTGGGGGACAAGGAGGGGCCCATGGGACTGTGACTGGAGGGAGGTCCCTCCATCCTCATGGGGTGATTTCACCTAAGACCCTGTCCCTTTTATTTTTGCTGTTTTCATTACAGCCCCCCTGCTCCAGATGGCATCCTCAGCAGGAGCAGGGTGGCATCATGGGCACTCCCACCCTCTAGCCACATAGGCCTGAGTGGAGAGTGAATGGGAGGGTCTCACAGGGAAAAGAAACTCTTCTCAGGGATAGGTCCAAGTGCAGAAGTGACACCAAGGGCTGCTGAGCTCAAGTCTGGGTGCTCCTCAAGAGCCGATTTCTGCCCTTTGCTTACACAGAGCACACTGTACTTCTATCAACAGCCAGCTGAAAGCAAAGCTGAGCTCTCAGCTATGGCCAAGTGCTCCCATTTCTTCCACTTTATCTCACAGACCGCCCAAATGGCCCTGTGAGACTCCATCATCTCCTGTACATCCCAAATGCACCCTGTCACAGGGCACTGGGGACCTTCTCCTGACACAATGGCAGCTACCACAGCAGGATACCAACAGGATCCATTGGCTGGGGAGGGATGACCAGGGTTAGCCATCGGATCCAGGATGTCCTGTCGGAGATCAGGATCCCTCTGGAGAGCAGCAGTGTGGATGTCTGGGCCCGAGTGTGCTGTTCCTCACCACAGCCATGGTGAACATTCATCCCATCTGGTTCTCTCTCCTCTCATGAGCAAGGCCACATTATTGTGATAGCACCAAGCCAGCCTGATCCCACCGGGAATTCAGCTTGGGCTGGTGGTGAAATACCTCAGGGAGGGGGGGTTGTTTTCCTGCTCAGCTCTACCCTATTCTTGCCATCCCCACAGCCCAGCCCTGGAAAGCCACGTCCCCCCACACCCCCCACCACACTGTGCAGGGCAAAGCTGAGCCAGGCTCTGGGGGCTGAAAAGATGATCCTCAGTCACAGAGTTAAAACTCTTGGGAGAGAGGGTTGGAGCAGAATGCTCTGCCTACGTGGGGCTTGAACTTTACCCTGCTTGTGAAAGTTCTCACGGATGGATGAAGCAGGGAAGTCACGATTTGCCCACGTGGGTTACATCAATCTCTACTCAATAATTATTCTGCTCATTTTAGCAGCTTTGCTTCAATAGTGTTTCAATAAATAGGGCTATATATTTAACTACCTATGCTATGTAGGTAGCTGGGTCCAGCCAGACCCCACCCCAGGAAATTGAGGAAGTTAGGGGTCCTTCCTGCATCTCCTGACTCAACAGGAGGGCCTCCCTAAGAAACTTTGTTCCAAGCTTCCATTCCGCCTGTAGCAAACGTGGAATCAAATTTTTTGCTTTCAGACAAGCCCACAGTTCATTTGTAAGCCTCCATCTCCCTCCCAAACACCATCTCCTCCACAAAAATATTAAGCAGCTGCTCTAGGATAGCAATGGGAAGAGGGCAAGTTTTCCCAAACAATCCCACCACTGCCAGGAGACAGATACCTGACCCTGAAAAGCTCAGCTGTGCTTCAGAGTATTTTTTCCTTACCCAGTGCGAACTGCAGTTAGAACTGTTATCCCTATCACCATGGAAATGGTTTGGTTTTAAAGGATGCTGTGGATGGACTGCATGGGGATGAAGGGCTGCAGGCAGGATGGGGATGGGGCTGGGCCACTGGTGGGAAGCAGTCAAAGAATGATTTAGGGCTTGATGGCATCTGAATGCTTATACTGCTATAAATCCCAACAAATTCCTCTGGGTTTTTTTACCACTGCAGCCAAGACTGGAATGGGCTCTGGCATTTATTCCTTGACAGCACTTGGATGTGGATGCACTAGGCCTGGGGTTCACAGGATTGGCAACTCTCTCTTTTCACTGCGAGTATCCTGGTATTTCCTATCCTCCCTGAACTCCTTGCTTCAGAAGGGAAAAAAGAAAACACGAGGCTTCACTTTTGCTTTGCAAATGAAAAGAAAACATTGATTTCCTCCTCTGCAAGGCTGCAGGGTGAGCCTGGAGCCAGGCTAAAGGGGTATCCAGAAGGGACCTGGCAAGCTGAAGATAAATAAGTAGGTAATGAGATAATAAGAGAATGGATCAATCTGTTTTCTGTAAATAATGCATAAATAACCTGAAGACAGAGTGTGAGTGTGCTGACAGCTGGGAGAGCAGCTCCATCCCTGGCTGCAGCTGTCAGAGCAGCACGATCCCCCCGCTGAGCTCCTTCCCGCTGGACGCCCGCGGCGGCCGAGGGAAAGCATTCCATGGGGATTTTCAGGAATGCCACAGGGTGGGTATATTTGGGATGAAGATGCCTGGCTGGGCTGGAGTGACACAAGCAGCTGTGGCACCGTGAGCATACCCCTGTGCACAAACCCTCCTGTAAATCCATTCCCTGGCCACGGCCCTCCAGCCAAAATCAGGCGGGAAAAATATCCCCAAGTCATCAGCTCCTGCTGACGCATTCGTGGGTGGGCAGTGGCAGCCCGACCCCTCCACATCCCTGAAATAGCTGCCTCAAGGGAGACCACAGCTAATCCCCCTGGCTCAGCCACCACGCTGATGAAGCTGGAGCTGGAATCAAAATAGCCAAGCTGATCTTTGGGATAATTCATCGGGCACAGCTGAACTCCAGGCCAAAGCAGCTCGGCCACCACCAACAGAGTGGAGGAACCCTTGACACCAAAGAGCCCAAGATGCAGCTCCAATCTGGTTTTTGAATCCCAGGGCAGCCAAAGTGTGTAACAGCTCACACAAGTTCTCTCAGCCCATGAAAAAAAACTTGTATATCAAAATCCACCCATTTTCCCTGAATAAGCAATAATAAGCTAAGAAAGCCAGCAGAGCTCAAGGGGGTTGGATAAACCTTCCCAGAGCGTCGGTGCTTTTCCACATGGCCCAACCCCACCTAACCCAACACTTCTGCTTCCCCACAGACCCCTTGGTGACACCAGAATACAGCAGGAGCAGCGGTGCCAGAGCTCAGCTGATGCCTCTGAGGGTGAGATCACCTATAACTATATCTAGGACCAGTGACCCACAATTACAGACTCTGCTGAGACAATTCATTTATCCAGATGTTCCCACTGATCCTCAACCAAGCAGGAAATGACGGAGCTTAGGGGCATTTCCCTGCTAAATGCTGCATCCAGGAAACTGGAGCTCCAAACCAACGCTGCTGGTGGTTTAGAGGTAAAACCTCCCAACATTTCTTGTTTCAGACGGGTTTCAAGCATCAAAATGCCTTAGTTTGGGAGAAGATCCGGAGAAAACAGGCTCTAGGCAGGTGCTTTATTTCCATTTCTTTGTCTCACACCTGGTGGAAGACAAAATCCTTCCCCTAGAGCCAGAGGGGCGACCAGCCAGCTCTGCCACCCCCTGCCCATTCCTGCTGGGATGTCTTCCCTCTCCCCAAAAAGGAAATGGTGATTCCCACACATATCCAGGGAACAAGATGTTGAGCCCACCCAAACCCCATATCCTTGCAGCTGATTTACTGCAGTAACTGAACTATTTCTACCCAATTTTTCCAGTGTCCTAAGGGCATAAGAGGATGAGAGGAATGGCATCTCTCAAATAACCCTGAGCCATGTGTTTGCACAGAGCAAATGGATTCAGGCAATCAAATTAAATCCTACAAGCTTATCAACATTTCCTCCAAGTGCCTCAAGCGTAACGAGTTTAGCTGAAGATTTTTAGGACACAAACAGGGCATGTGAGATAAAGAACAAGATGGTGAGGGCTGGAACAACATCAGCAGCACTGGGCATTTCTGAGCACCAGATGAAGCTTCTCAAAACCACAAACCTCCCAGACTTTCAGCTCTCTTTTCTTCCCCTCCATTCCGCCATGGATCAAGGGGAAGGAAAACCCAGTAGTATGCTAAGAATCACAGAACAGAGTCATCAAATCATTAAGGTTGGAAAAGCCCTCCAAGATCTTGGTGTCCAACCTTTGACTAAAAGACGGATACACATAAGTGTGTAGGTTTTAATTTCACACAGAAGAAAGGGCCATGAAGCAGGAAATCACAAAAATCTCAAAAAACCTCTTAATTTTTTTGCAAAACACTCATGGCACACAGCACCATCTGCTCCCTGTTTCCAGCTGACCCCCATCCCCACTGGTGCCACATGAGCTCATTTTTGTTCCGCTGCTTCATTTTCCCAGGGAAAAGGCACAACATGGAAAGTCAGCTGAAGGGGGGAAGAGGGCAGTTATTCTCTCAAGCCCTCACACCAACACACAGCCACCCCTGAGCAGTCTTTCAACTTCAATCAAAGCCATCTCAGCACATTTACACCACGGGGGTACCAAAGGATTCAGCTCTGCTGACTATAAACAGGAAAGAGCTGATCCAAAGACAGTTTGCAATAAAAATAAAACCAAACCCAAAGGAAACTCCCCCAAAAATTCCAACAAACCCCCGCAGAGCAGCACATTCTCCATATGTGACATCCCTGGTCTCCTTGATGGGGTTGCACTGACCAGGTTTCCCTCTCCACCCTCCTTATTACCCCACAGAGATGCTCCCAAGTATTCCACCAGGGAAGCAAGGCTGCGTCTCCACTGCTCCCATCGTAAATCACGGCTGACTCCCTGACACTGATTACAAACAGGAGGCTTAGCAGGTGGCTGCCACTGCCATACCATTCCAGCCTCTCCCTCTAGTTGCTTGGAAAAATCAACACACAACTTCTGGAAGCAGGGGCTGAGCCAGCAGCTCCTGTGGGACAGTTTGGGATTTTCTCACAGCGAGGGTTTGAGGACATCTCAGTGGGTTATGGGGTTTTCACGCTGAGTTAGGGTGTTTTGTACTGTCTGGAGAACCAGAGTGCTGAGAAAAAAATGAAAAATCTCATAGAAAATATATCCATCAAGCTGTGAGGTGCCAGAAGCCCCCGTGATGGGGATCCCAACCTGCCTCTTCATTAAGCCATCAATGTCCAGCACACAGCAAGAGTCATGGTCTTCTCCTACTGGAGCTCCACTGCTGTGTGGTGGAGCATGACCACCACCCTGACTTCCAAACCCTGCCTAGGCTGGGCTCCTTGAAAACCCCTTTAATCCCAGAAGGGTGAAGCTGGGAGATCCTCTGGAGATCCACTTCACCTTGTCCAAACACCCCTGCTCAAGCAGGGCCATCTGCAGCTGGTTGCTCATGACCACGTTCAGCTGTTTAGTATCTCCAAGGATGGAGATTCACATCCTCCCTGGGAGATCTGTGCCAGTGTTCAGCTGCCTTCACAGTGCAAACCCATTTCCTGGTGTCCAGAGGGGACCTCCCATGCCTCAGTTTCTGCCCATGTTTTCCCACCAGGCCACCTTCCTGGTGCATGTTCAACGTGGTGCCCACCAGACCCCCCAGGTCCCTTCCTGGTTTCTCTCTGGGGCAGCCCCAGCACATCCTGGTGTCTGGGCCTGTCCCTCCTCAGGTGCAGGACTTTGTCCTTCCCCTTGGTGAACTTCAGGAGGTTCCCAGCTGGCAAAGGTCCCTGTGGACAGCAGCACAACCCTCTGGTGTCACCCACCCCTCCTGGTTTGGTGTCACCTGAGGTGCTGTGGTCACCCTCAGCCCCATCACCCACATGACTGAAGAAGAGGTTAGGCAGGACAGTGTGACCCCTATGATGCACCCCTGGGTGCAGCAACCAGGGTTTGGCCAAGCATCAACACCTCCCAGGCCTGGCTGTTCCAGCATCTCCCAACCCACCTCATCCAGCACACACAGGAGACAGTGCCAAAAACCTCACCCAAGTCTGGGCAGACAACACCCACTGCTCCCCGCTCCAAGCCCTCCCTCCCTATGTGAGACCAGGCGGGAGAAACCCCTTAGGGACCCAGCAGGGGCAGAGCCAGGGCAGCAGCAGCAGCCAAGAGAGTGAAATCAGGGCGTTTCCCCCCACAAAATAAACCCCAGTGCCGACACCCTTTCACCCCAAAATCCCAGCGGGGAGCAGGATGAGAGGGAGGAGCAGAGGGAGCTCACTTACCCCACGGTCTCGTCCCAGTCACACCAGAGGCGCTGGCCGATGCCCTCCATGCTGAGCTGGAACTGCTTGAGGCAGTAGTGCCGGATCATCCAGCCGTAGTCGGCCTCCTGGCACGCCGTGGCCGCGATGAAGTGCTGGGCTGCAACACAGGCCAGGGCTGTCAGGCTCTGCTGGGGTCACAGCAGCACCACAGCCCCCTGTCCTCACCTGCCAAAGCACAGCTGATCCCCACAGCAACCCCAGCTCTTCAAAACCTCCTTTTCTCAGAGTCATTTCCCTCCTCACACCCCTGGGGCCCTGCACCCTCCCAAGTGCCTGGCGCTGATAAATCAGTTTTTCAAGACATGCTGGGTAACTTGTAAATTAGTAAGGATGTGGATTTGTTCTCTGCTGATCACCCAAAATGCCTTTGGACATCAAATGTCCGGGTTTTGGGCTTAAAAAACGAGGGTGTGGGGGAAGCTGGGGAATGAGAACCCTGCTGCTGACCCCTGAAAAATGCCCTGCATTGGGCACAAATATCCACCTCTGACAGAGCACAGGGACAGACACAGGGAAATCCATCAAATCCATCCCTGGCTGCTGATTGAATTCCCTCCTGGGAATGTGTCCCTGCAACTGCTCCAAGATCAGACAAGAGTAAGGTGCTGCTTACAGCCTCATGCACAAACTGTGCAATGCTGCTGGTGAGGGGAAAGGAAAGTGATGCTACACAGGGAAGGGGAAAAAAATCCTTTGGGGAAGTGTTTTAGTGAGCCTGGCTATAAATAATAGCTTTCCCTTGGTCCCAAAGTGCCAGCTAGTGCCTTTGCAGGTCCTGGAGTGCACTGCAGCCAGGCACCACATACCAGATCTATTTTTTGCTACGTGTGAATAACTCTGTGCTTTATTTTTATCTGATTTTTTTAACACAACAGGATTGAGCTGCTTATTTAGTGGCCAAGAGACATCACCATGGGACACCATCCCTCTGCAGCCTCCAAAATCCTCGGAGCACTTAGGTACCAGCATCCTATGGCAATGGGTGGGAAGGCAGGCCCTGGTGGGAATTTGGGTGGGAAGGGCCCCCAGAGCCTTGGCTGATGTTCCTGGATGGATGCAGGGCTCCCATGCTGCCTCTGACAGCAGCAGCCACTTTGGCCTGACTTGAGATAAAATCATGGGAGTTACCAAGCCAAGGGAAGCTAAAGAGCATTAAACCCTCATTGCTGCAATAATAAAACCGAGTTTATCAAAACCTCAAGCTCTGCCTAGCTGATAGCAGCCAGGGGCACAACCTCAGCCAGGGATAAGCCCTGATCCCAGATGGGAGGGTTTGACATGCTGAGGGAAAGCACAGAGAAGATGAAGATGAAGAAGATGAAGACAATGAAGAAGACGACAAAGAAGAAGAAGAAAGAGAAGAAGGAGATGAAGAAGAGATGATGATGAAGAAGACGATGACGAAGAAGACGAAGACTAAGAAGAGGAAGACAAAGAAGAAGAAGACAAAGAAGATGACAAAGAAGATGATGAAGATGAAGATGAAGAAGATGAAGATGAAGACAAAGACAACAACAAAGAAGAAGACAACAAAGATGACTAAGAATAAGAGGACAAAGAAGAAGATGAAGATGAAGAAGAAGAAGAAGAAGAGGAAGAAGACAACAAAGAAGATGATGAAGACGAAGAAGAAGAAGAAGAAGAAGATGAAGATGAAGAAGAAGAAGATGAAGAAGAAGACAAAGACAACAACGAAGAAGAAGATGACAAAGATGACTAAGAATAAGAAGACAAAAAAGAAGAAAAGAAGAAGGAGATGAAGGAGATGAAGGAAAAAGAAAGATAAATGTAAATTATTTCTGGACTGCAAATCTCAGTCTGGGCAGGCTCAGGGATGGTTGATGGCCAGGAAGCTTTTGTCCCCTTCCCATTCCTTCCAATCTGGATGAGTCAAGTGAAGGAGTGACACGGCTGAACGAGCACTCGGGAGCCACCCCAGGGGTCACTGCTCAGTGACATCCATGCACTGGACTGTGAAGGACAAGTGCCCTGTAAATATCACAGGCATCACTTGTCTGGACAAGCAGCTTGCAGAGAAAATGCTGCTGGGGAATGTGTCAGGTGCAGAGCAGCAGAGCACAGCAAAAGGACAAGGGGAGGAGAACGGATCAAAAAGCAGATAGATGAGCAGCCAAGGGGATTTGAGGAGCACAGGAGGAAACAGAGCCAGGAAGGAATGAGTGAGACATCCAAAGCAGAGAGAGAAATTGAGGAAGAGAAGCCACTTGAGGAAATTCAGCAGTGATGCAGTACAAGCAAAGAGACAGAGAAGCAAAGTTAAGCAAGCACGGCCAGGCTGCATTTTGCCTGGCTTTGCTCCTCCCCACTCTCATTTGAGATAAGCCCAGAGACAAGCTGTACCACCACTATCCTTAGGGATGCCCAAATGCTTCCTGATGACCACACAGCTGTTTATGCAGAATGAACCTGGAGGAAAACACCTTAACCTTGAGCACAGAGAGGAGAAGTACTGAAGAAACAATGGGGAGGAAGCAACCACAACCTGGCTGAAAGTAGCAGCAAGCCACAGATGGCTGGTAGCCAGCATAAAAATCAGTCCTACTATTAAAAGAAAATCCCAACCCAAACCAAGTGAAAACCAAACCCTGGGGAGCTTTAAGCTCACAGCAGCTCAGAAGATGCAGCTCTAGAGGTCCTTTAGAGGCAGGTGAGCACCCTGCTGTCCCCCCTGGCAGCTCCTCAGGAGCTGTCTGCCCCACCAGAACCTGCTCCTGGAAGATGCCTCTCCCACACCTACACATGGGCTCTGCAAATCCCTTTGCCCCAGGGACTGGGGAAACCAGAGCCATCAGCCAGTGACCTTTTCCAAGGACATTTGATTTTGGACATGGTGAAGGGCTCTTTTGTTTCACACCCCAGAGCAGCGAGGCCCAGCAGGGCCCGTTGTGTCAGTGCTGCGAGGATGGAGCCAGGTAAAAAAAGCTCTTTTGTTTCCAGCTGACCAGGAGAACTGACTTCAGCTGCAATTGCACAATTTAAGGTCAAAGTGAGAAGCTCCTACCATGTTTCCACATGGTTCCCAGCTCACCCCACAGATCCCTACTGCTTCACAGATTTTCCCCCAGCCCCACTGGGGGACAGACTGGGACAGGCTCAGGGTTTGTAACAACAAGGCGGGGGGGCGGGGAAAGCAGGGAAGGATTTTTGTATCTCCTGGCTCTCATTCCAGAAGGTTTTCCTTCTGCCCTCAGCCCTGCTGATGGAGATGGTGTAAGTCAGCTGCAGTGAGCTGTAAATAACTGAGCTCCAGAGCAGTCACAGCTCTGTACTCAGCAGCATCCATCTGTGAAAGCTGCGAGGAGCTGCTGAATAACTGAGCTCCAAAACCCAACTGTACCAAGGCTGAGCTGCCTCCAAAGAGCTCCCCTCTCATGGGCCCCCTGCCACTGCCATTCCCTCAGGAAAAATGGCTTTGAGAGCTGCAGGAATGCAGTGCTCCTCTGGGAGCATCCCACTGGAGCCATACAGTACCTCCAAAGCCCAGCTGGGTCTTCAGGTGTCACATGGACACAGAGAATCATAGAATCCTGGAATGGTTTGGGTCAGAAAGGACCTTAAAGCTCATCTCATTCACCCCCTGCCATGGGCAGGGACACATTCCACTATCCCAGGCCGCTTCAAACCCTGTCCAGCCTGGCCTTGGACACTTGGGATCCAGGGGCAGCCACAGCTTCTCTGGGCACCCTGTGCCAGGGCCTCAGCACCCTCACAGGGAACAATTCCTTCCCAATATCCCATCTAACCCTGCCCTCTGGCAGTGGGAAGCCATTCCCTCTTCTCCTATCACGAGAATTGTTGATGAACAACCTTCCCTGCTGAGAGAATCTCTGATTGCCTGTTAAAAAATGCAATATTAAGGACCCTTTGTTTGCCTCCTCACAGGAAACACCTGGAGAGCAGTGGTGAGGAGGTGATTGGAGGGATGGCTTTTGCAGGCATCCCAGATCCTCATGATTGCCCTGGGATTGATGTCCTGGAGAGTCCCAGCAAGCATCCACCAGGACTCAGCTTAGTGAGGGTTAGCTGCAAAAAGCCTGTCACACATTTATTTCAGCAGAAAAACAGTGTTGGTCCTGAATTGTTACAAAAATTTCAGGGAGAGGGAAGCCAACCCGACCTTCCTACACTGCACTTCTCAGAGTTGGAGCCTGGACCAAGAGCTTGGGGCCACCCCTCCAGAAACAGCTTTGGGGACCCCTCTGTGAACCCACACATTTGTGCTTCACCAGCAAAAACCCCTGAGCTTTCCCTACAAGGAACATCCTTCACATCGATATCCCTCTGCACAACTCCTTGGTCTCTTGCCTTTTTCTCCTCAGTGTTCCAGGAATTCCTGGGCTTGTCTTGCAGGGATGTGCAACCAACCCCGAAGGGAAGCAGAGGCAGGGAGGACTGCAGAGCCTGAGAACAGATCTGGGAATTTCAGACTGGCACAGCATGGGGTGTTCCCGTTTCCCAGACATTTCTGCAAGTACCCCTGATGGTGCTGGGTGAATGATGGAACAATTTGATGACACAAGCAGAGAATTCACCATCCAGCTAGACTGTCAGGATTTTTTGGGGGGAAACAGTTCAGGGCTTCCTAGCAAAGAGCAGGAAATAGGCAGATATGAATCCAAAAGCTGAACCCCAAAGTTGGCAGATAATTGCCAAGTGACACTCACAGCAAGGCTGGCACTGGCACATGTGGCACCAGCAAAGCTCTGGGCTCGGAGAACAAACACCCCAGTATCTTCCCTTGGGCTTCTCCCAAATTCTCAGACCTCCCCTGTGAAATGATTAGTGCTCCCAATAAGCCCCAGATGGAAACAGGCTGTTTTCCTCTCCTCTTCAAGGTGGTGGTTTTGCTGTTTTATTGAGAAGGAGCCTCGTGGTCTGGACTTGGCTGCAGAATAAAACATTCACAGGGTGGTGAGGAAAGGACATGGGGCTGGAGGAAGATGAGTGTGAAAAACATCCCAGTTTGCAACCACAAAAATGGAAAAAATTGCCCTTCCAGCATCTGTAGAAGCCTGGGAAGGGTCTTCTACCCTCTGTTTAAAAACATCTTCCACCGAGGCAGCCACCAGCTCAGCA